TTCATAGAAACGAAATCTAACAGTAAGAAAGGGCAGAGATCACCCATAAAAAGCAGTATGTACAGTAACAACAAAGAGACAAAAAAAGTTAATGATTATATTGTGCAGATGGAAAATGCTAACTGCTTAGCCAAATTAAATCAGATCTGGAAAACCAGTTGCGCCATCTCTTGCAATTTAATTTACTCCTCTCTAAATAGAAGGCAGAAGATAATGACCATTTGGGAGAGCTCGGATGCTACAATTCATTGACATGCCTGCTCTGAGCTCTCCCTCAGTTTTGGTGGTGAGCCCACCAAATATGTTACTCTTGAAAAATACCAATAAATGGCTGTATCCAGGGCCAATAGCCTGGATTTTCTCAGCTCTGGAGAAGAGAAGGCAGGAGGAGAGTGCTCTTTCTTATGACCCTAAGGGACCACATCTTGCTTCTGTGACTGTCGGTGTCAGTCTCCACACCTATTACATTTTTGCTATCCCTCTGCTGCGGTTGCCAGTGCAGTGTCCATTTTTGGATATGCCGCACAAGCACTCTGGAAATAAGGCCAAAACTACTAGAATATATTACAAAAAACTAACTAACTTAAAATCTACCACCTGCCTCTGTGACGGGAAGCATAAGCTTCAATGAAAACCTCCAGATTCCATTATCACTGAGCTAGTCATGATTTAAAACATTATGTCTCAGGTTGAAAACAAATTATTATGTTATGAACAATCATCTGAGCTGGGAGTAACAATATACAAGTACAACCCCCATACCTCCAAGATACAAGTACAACCCCCACACCTCCAAGATACTGAGTGAATACCAGGCTGCAGAGTCTGCATCATTATTCCAAATCAGACATGTAAAAAAGCCTCAGTTCGTTTCTTGTTTACATCAGTAAATACCAGGCTTCACTGCAGCACAAGGTACATTGTGGGAATCTCAAGTAACAGTAAACTCAGGGAAGGGCAATCACAGCATGCACTGAATTAGCGCATCCTTTGCCTACGGAGATTTCTAAGAAGTCGTGACACAAAGGCAAAAATGAGCCTCCTGAGATGCACTGCACAAGGAAAAACGATGCTGAGAACAATATCCTCGCTCTTCTTAGCCACTTTGTGCTGCCAGCACTTAAACCACCTCAATTCAGAGATTAAAAATCCCAGGAAAGCATGAGCACTTTTAGATATTCATAGGGCTTTAATTAAAAAATATGTATTTCCCTGATAGTTGCCATTTATCTGAAAGCCTCCTCTTCAAATAAACTCAGTTGAAGCCATCTCCTGTGCTTTTGAACCTTTTCAAGCGGATTTACAATAAATACACTGCATCATGGTGTAGTTCTACACTGCAAGATGGTGGTGCAAAGATGAGATGAGTCAATTAAAGCTCACCGTGAGAGAAGGGTTGCCTTCCTCCAATCTTCACTTCTTTTCCCAGCTCCCAAGCATGTGCTCCTGTTGCTTGCAGAGTATTCTGGATAAATATATATTTTTGTCACGTTAGTGAACGGAATCAGATTATGAAAGGGTCTTATGAAGCAGACCTGTGTGGCTGAGAGCAGGAGGGAGGGAGTATGACCTTCCCACTACAACAGCAGTCAGCAGTTAGCTTAGCTCAACTAATTTCAGGAAACGAATGGCAAAAAAAAAAAAAAAAAAGTAGAGTTTGGAAGCACATTCTGCGTGCTTCTAGCACTGCTTTCCTGCCCCCAGGAAAGTACCTGAACCTCTTGGCCACAAGCAAGGCCCAAGTCGTTTCATGTTGGAGCTAATTAGAGCTGAAGGAGGCACATTACAGCCAGAATAAACAGCGAATACTGCCTAACTCTTTCCATGGTCTCACTTGAGATTTAAAACCTTGCTCCTATAATCCTTGCTGATCCCAAAGCCTTGACAGCAATGGGTTTATTACATGCGCTTGGAAAGTTATTTGCCTGCTTAAACAGCTTTTCACACACCCTCTGCTCCCAGCTAGAGCAGAGAATCCCTATAATCTGGAGAAATCGTGGTTCGAAGGGACAGAGCACATCGTCAGACGTTCAGGACCATCCTTCCTCTCACCGACAGTTGTGTATTGTCACTGTGGCAACTACACTACCTGCATGCATGAGAAACGCTAGGAAAGCATTCGGCTTATTTTAGCTATATTTTAATGCAGTTTAGCACCTGGAAGCAAGGACGAGAACAAGCGCCATATGAGCAGTCACGTTTCATGTCTACACTGGAAACGTTCCACAGTTCATCAGCTATTTTAGAGATGATAGGTGCGACACCTTGGAAAACTTCTAGTAGATTAACTGGGCTTCGTTCGGTGCTCCTAATACAAAACAAACTGCATGAAACGTTGGGAAGGACCTCTGTCTAGCTGGAGCTCCTGTGGACACTCCTTACGTTGAGCCAAAGCTAGCGGCAGCAGCAGTCTTCACTGACTTGCGTGGTCACCAGGCTGCCGGTGCCCCTGCGGTCACAGGATCAGCCAACAGTCGTGAAACGCTGGTTCACGAGCATCGATCGCTTGCTCTAGAAGCACTGACTCTAGAAGCATATTCAGAAACACAAGACTTGCTTATGACAGGCTCCTAGGAAGACAAACCGATCAACCAAAGGCCAAAGCAGAGGTGAGGTTGAAGGGATTTTACTTGATATTTGCCTGCACAGATTTAAATAAATGTTTTTTAAAAAGCTAAAACATGGTATTAAAGCGTTGAATCCAAACGCTTTTGGCAAAAGCTCCCCCATCCAGGAATGATTTCATATCAGCCAAGCTGTTAAGTGAGGTTGCCGTGGAAACAAGATGTATTCAAATGATATGGCCAGAGATACACTGTATTTAGTGAGTTCTTCATTTGCTGCATGTTGGGAACATGTCAGCACTACAAGGTATTGCATAACTTTGTTTTGTTAAAAACAAACTGGCTCGCCACCAGCTGTTTTTCCTATAGGCTTGAACCCGGTCCCAGCTGGGACAGAAAGTTACACAGCAATACCAGGCACTGCTCCGCAGGAGAGGTTTCGGGTACGTTCGATCCCTAGGAGCGCCCATTCACGGATGTCCTCCTTCAAATGAGCGAGCGTGCTGAAGGCAAACAAGGTGCGCAAGTCCAGGGAGAGCTACGGTTTGCATGAAATCTCAGCTATGGCATTTCCTCCCTTTTGACATTTACCCAGGTGTTATTACTGCAGTTTGTCATTTGAAGTTTACTCCCAAGGAACCCGTGCTGTTGGTTGGAAAAGTGTGCTTCAGGAGGGAGCCCTGACACAGCTGATATTGATACCCATCTTTGGTTCAGTCTTTGGAGCTCCACAAAGCAGAGGAAACTTCCTTAGCTTGCAGAATTTACTGGTCCAAAAAGAAGTTTATTTCAACTGCATCCTTTCCTTCCTTCTCAGAAACATTCCTCCATATGCATTGTCCAAGTCTAAAAAAAAAATCTATACAATTATATAACAGTAAAGCCAGTTCAGGTATTCATGGAAACCCCTCAAATGACCAAATGTCCTTGTAAGCACAGGATTCCTGTTAACTTACTGTCTGCAAGTGATACTAGAACAAATTTCAGAGAGGACTATGTGCACACTGAACTCTGAGTCTGCTCTTTTAGCTGCGGAGCTGTTGGAAAGAAAAAGAGCAAAAATTGTTCCATCTGCTAGGAGTAAATACATATTTTTAATATGCACAAAACTAATGGAATAGTTCTTGCTCAAGTTAAAAATCAAAATCAAATCACCTTTGGCCATGACACTATGTCTGAAAATGAAAGATAAAAATGGCTACAGAACAGTTATGATGGGCAGCACCGTGCACCTCTTACACGGTGGTGTATACAGGAAAGTGTTTTAGGTGATCTCCCAAGGGATCAAGAATTCCTGATTGCCTGATAGAAGCTGACCAGTAAGTAAAGGTCAAACAAAACCTTGCCCTTAAAGCTGTTATGTAACTGCATACATTGTGAAACACTTCAGAGAAGGTAGCAGCATCTCATAACCTCCAGTTCCAGGGCCTATGGAAATCAAATGGGAGTTTGCTCACTTCTAGGCCAGGTAATCCTAAATTTCTCCAAGCCTTCTTTCTATCGCAGTTTATAAAGCAAAACCTAAGGCCAAATAGCTCCGCTGGCATATGAAAAAGCAAGCAAATTTCTGCCAGATGTGACTATCCGCATGAAGCAGGCAACACCAGCTCCCTACCTACCTCAAATCAGTACGCGGGCTGGAACGACTTGATCTTTCCAGGATCTTTGATGCATTTCAGAATCACAGCCCTCCTTGATTACCGTTGCTTGGGAAGAAAGTCTGAACCTGGTCCAAAGCCCTTTACAGTTAAGTAAAGGCACGTAATGACTTAAATATGCTTGAGATCAGATCCTTACTCTTCCTGTCATCTCCAGAGAGCTGCACTGGCTTAACTCAGCACCCAGTCCATCCACCAGTGTAGAGAGACCTGAATTCCTCACTTGGCTTTAGATACTATGTTTCTGCTTTCATCCCTCCACCTTTCCTTTTCCCGTGCTTGTAAGGCACCGAACCACATGCAGAAATGCAAGAAACCTGAAGGACTTCAAAAGCAAGGTTTGTTATATGTAAGAAACAAACTCCAAACAGCTTTCCTTTCCTTATTTCCCAGTAAAATATGTGCAGTGTTTCACTTAGTTATCTTTTCCCTAAACATGGGGGTCCCAAAATAGCATCATCCACCAAGCTCATTTTATGTTACATTAAGTCAAGAAGAGTGTTATTGGCACCACATCCGGCAACTCCTTTGATGTGGAATATCAGCTTAAATGCAGATCTCTTTTTTACAGGCAGCACGGTATACAGCTGAAGGAAACAATATGCAGGAGTCAAATCCTACACATTGAGCAAAACATTTTGGTCTGTACAGCAGAGTAAGCCTGAGATGGGAAGCCTCAACTGCTATTTATATTGTAAAAATTAAAAAAAAAAAAAACTAAAATGAAAATAAAAACCCCACAGAAAATAATAAAAGTATCATAGGTTTTACACTCATCTCTTGCAAACTGTGAGTTCACTGCTACTCTGTGGTTCAGCTCAGGCGGGTTATCTCAACTTTCTCCCTCACACTCAAGCAAATTCTGTGCCCATCAAATTTTTCCGACAGTAAAGCCAAGGACCCCTTTGGAAATAACCGCTAGAGGGAGACTGAGTTCATGAATGTAACACGCAGATGTAGAAAAGTCTACACCTTAAGGGAGAAAAAAAGTCCAAATTGGAGTAAAATGTGCTCCACCTAGTTCAGGTCAAAATTACGCCCTGTGTTTCTTCTTCACATATAAAATTGGACGAAACTCATGGGTCAAATTTGGCTTCGTTACTGTAAATGGGGGGAGTGTTGTGTAAATGAGATCAGTCAGTCGCATGCTCTCCTATTGTTTGTAAGACTGGTTAGACCGAATCGATTAAAAAAACGCACCAAAAAAATACCCCAGCCACTGAAAATACTAATAGCGGTATCCTAGCAACACCACAGATTCCTTGTGGACTTTGTTCTGGAGTCTCCAGTCTTATTTCATCAAAATTATTGACTTTCTCGAAGTCTCTAAACGACTATCAAAAACCAGTTAGCGCTTAAAAAATACAAACATTTAATTAGTCACATTAATAAGTAAAAAACGAGAAGGAGCACTGCATGCTAGCGCTCCATGTTCACGGAGCACGATTTAGCTCCCTTGGAAATCACTGTCAAAATTCCCGCTTTGCTCACTGGCAACAGAGCTGGGTCTCTCCGTAGAGAACGGCGGCGAGTGGCCTTATAAAACTTGGCAGGTAACGCTCGTTTCCCAGGTCGGACTCACACGTTGCATGCATGAAATTCATGCAGATCTCGACGGTCCTTCCAACCACGTGCGTCCTTACTGTAAACGTAAAATAGCATCCAAAGGATATACACAGGCTTCGTGCGAGGCTTTTCTGCTTTGTACATAACCAAGGTCTTTTTTTCTGACCTTCGTTTTTATCTAACTGCAACACTGACCACAAAAAATCTGAAGTCCTGTTGGATCTTTCCCAAAAGCCTTTCCGTCTGCTCACTTTGTCAGCATGTGGACAATAAGGAGAAGCACGTTTGGTCCTGAGGACAACAGGTGACATTAATCTCCTGGAGCAGTACCTTTAAGAGTTATGCTCTTAGCAGGCAGTCTTTATACAAAGGGAGTATTGGCTATTTGGGGGAGACTTTTTCCCTCATTTTGCATCCGCTGGAGGGTCAGTGAAGTGAACTTCATTAGATAGAATACAGGAGCAAAAGATCAGATAAATAAAAAATGAAAGCAGCCAATCCTCCCAAAGAAAAACCCTTAGTACAAAAGGGACAATGGAAAAAAAAAAACATACAAATAAGCTATTTGTTATCCTTAACAGCATACATGATGATCTGAAGAATTTCAGGGAATTTTGTCATTTAAACTCAGCGTTCAGGTAAGCTTAGATTTTAGTCACAATTTTCAGCTCCAAATTACATCACAGCTTTCTGGACACTTTTTATCTGTTATTTCAAGCTCTGCTTCTGTAAGTTAGTAAGAACTTTTACCAGAGAGAAAGTGCTATTAACATAATAGATTCCATTTCATTAGACTGCCTTAAAAGCTCTGTTGATAAAGTAGTCTGGTAAAAAATATTTCCCACGCTTTATTTAGCCTGCAAAAGTTGGTACAGCCCCATGAACACTTCTGAACTGCAAAGTCTTTTTTACGTGCTATTTCTAGAGCTCAAAATTGAACAACAAGACAATGTCTTTGTTGCAGAAGTAATTTAAATACAGAAGCGTGCGTTAGCATCTTTCAGCCCCGAACATTAATCCGACGATGGCTTGATTTTAATTCTGGACAGAGCGCTGGATTGTTTGCATGGCTTCAGAAAGTAGTTTTGGGAAATGCTGAACTGGTCCCTGCAAGTTGCTTAAGGCCACAGTAATGGGCTGCTGAAGTATCATCCCTTGCCAACACACTGGCAGGGGCCTTGCTTAGACAGACAGCACCAGGTTAAATAAGAACAAACATTAACCTAGTGTAAACTGTTCATGGACTCTCTTATATTGCCAAATCTTACAGTTTTGGTCACGTGGAAAGTTTTCACACTCCTTATCCTTTCATTTCAACCCGTGCCCAAGAGCCGGGATGCCAGTGAGGCAGCGGAGGGGCCATGGGGAAGGAGGGATGTCCATTGGCACAGCGTGCAAAATAAGAGAAAGTAGGACTAGCTTCAGCCTAAGCTGTGCACAAGGATCATCCACACATCAACAGGAAATCTAACACATAAGGACAACATACCAATAAAGAAATCAGATTTCAGATTGCATTTGCTTGAGTTAAAAGATAATGTCAGAAGGGTGTGCGTGCGTGTACAGGAAGAGCATAATGTTAGGAAAAGCACAAACAGTACCACCCTTTGGGTATTTCCTAATTAAAAAAAAAAAAATAAGTGAACGTGCAAGTTGAAGCAGACTCTGCAAACAATTGCTGGATTCTAGAAGTGACAGCAATGCAAGGCAATGCCAGGAACACTAATTGATGTCAGCGTGGAAAAACTTTCAGACAAAATGCATGTGCAGATATTATCTGTGCAACTACAGTGTGAAATTCTTACCTAAGCACTTTCCGTATTGCTGCAGAAGAGAAAAGAAAAAAAAAAGAAATTTATCTAGAACAATTACACTGTATAATTGCACTTAAGTCATTATTTTGTATGATCATACCTCAATATAGCTTATACTGAAAGATACTTTTTGGCAAATCTGCCAATGAACTGATGTCAGCAGCAGGACAGATTTCCATTAGTAGTACCTCCAGCATTTCAAATAATTCTCCCCAATAATTAGAACAATTCCCAAACTGCTCCAGGGAGAGCAATTAAAATAAATTTTAGGAACACACACCAAATTATGTTCCTAGTTACACCTTGCAGCAGCACTGTTGGGATCATTTATATCTGGGCAATAATTAAAAGAGGGAAAAAAAGTACAATGCACAATAAAAATGAAGATGCTTTGACTGCCCGAAGAGGAGTCTCTGGCATTTCGTAAGAGCGGCAGTTGCAACCAGGAGCAGTCCTACTGACCAGGTGCAGCAGGATTGCTTCTGATGGCAGATACTAGTAAATAGCAAGTGGAGAAGACAAGATGGGTTGAACACATGCTGAAGAAGTAAAAGCTTCTTTTCACATTGACTTTGAAAATAATCTTTCAGTTGTACATGACCTCTTTTTTAAGCCAGTGACTTTTCTGGACGGACATTCATAGTAGCTCTGTCTGAAAGCAGAGAAAGGGAACTGGTGAAAATAAGTCGTTTATAACTAAATAAGTTAACTATAAGAAGTTCATAACTAAGACAGTCACCCTTTGCTCTGAAAGAGTCTATGCTGTTAGTGATAAATTTGCTGTGGGTGTCAACGGGTATTTCACCACTACGAGGGCGGTAGAGTCGTCCTGCACCGATGAGACCGCACAGTCCCTGCGCAGGGAGCGTAGCTTGTTAAGTTGGAAATCAGTCAAGCAGACAAAGTTGACGACGGAGCATATAACGCATTGCCCGTTTTTGCCGCAGCCAGTTGTCACCTCAGCCCACGGAGATGGCTGCAGCGCACACGCGCATGCAGGTAATTAGCAATACACCTATTTAGTGACAAAACGTCATAACCCTTCCTACTAATATAGAAGACTTTCTGCTTGCTGAGAAGACCCAGAGCCAAGGGCTCCTAAAGGCAACAAGCTGCTTATCCCCGGACTAAGGAGCCCGCAGCACCCTAGTATCTCCAAAAGCTCGTTAGCTCCACAGCATGGAGCTGGGACATCGGGTGCACGAGCAGACGAGCAGTGCCTGCAGGTCACTACAGCACAGACGAAACTTCTGGGGTTGGCTACTCTGCAGCACCGCGGCTCAACAGCCTGAAGCCATTCCACTTTTCTTTAGGTATAAATCGGGGAAAGTTTGATCTAGTCAGACACTCCTTAGGAACGGGCTTTGCTAGTACAAGAGCACGTAGCTAGGACTCAGCCCTCACAGCGGAGCCTGCACCCATCTCCCTGCAACGAGCCGGCACCCGCAGGGCTCAGCGCCTCGCAGGGAGACCCGCGCACCCCTACGCGTGCGTACGTACGCGCCTTACGTACGCCGGCTCTGCTTCTCTTCCGTGCTGCGCTGCGCTCCAGCGCTTGCTGAATCCACGGCCAAGGGGTGCAAAGTACAACCCAAGCACACGGCCATGAGAGGGCACTACGGAAAAACGAAGTGAAGAAACAGGAAAACGCGTGCATGGGGAGATTCCCTGGGAGATTTTTTTAGAGGAACGCTGTTCTGTAACTTTCTTGGCACGTCTGTGGCAGGGACTGGAATAGCAGCTAAAAGCTCCTGTAGCAAGACACGACGTGGCTGATATTTCCCGTCTCGTCCCGTGTCGCCGGGGAGCCCTTCCACAAAAGAGCCGCTTCTGAGGAACAGCATGCCACCAACAATTCAGCCGGTTCAGTTTAGAAGAGACCGTGACAGACAGAAGTGAGCAGGAAGGAGCTATTCTTCCCCTCTCCTTTTCTTCCCTCTCCATTGAGCCAACCCTTTAAAGCCCAACTTCCCTCGCAGAACATTACAGGACTTTCAGCAAGTGGCCTGCACGGAGACGTTCACAGCCATGACACCTGCGTCTGGTTCTTTCCAGTCAAAATAATCTCCTACTCAATTATGGAGAAGAATAGAGAAGCTCAGCCTGACTCACACTCACATGGGGGAAAAATGAGAGGAGTTGCTCCAGTTCAAACCGTTCAGCTCGCTGTGGAGGAGGATCAGCACCACTGCGGGACCACGCTTTCTCTCCCTCGGCACAGCACTAACGGATGGAAAAGACCTGAGTCCACTTCCTTGCTGTGCCAAATATACTCCTCCGTTCTTCTCTACTCCCTCCCCAAGAGAGCATATGAGGTATTAAACAGCTAGGAATAAGCCCTTGAAAAATGTGATAGCTAGCTGTCGGGTTCCTCTCGTCTAGCCACCAGCAGTTCTGCGCATATTCGGCCACAGACGCTGCGCCACCATCTAAGAAATCCGGATTCAACAACGACATTAATATTCGCACCTGATTTGGTTTGATTTGTACATTTTGCATTATTGTACTAAGAGTCACGTGAACAGAAACACGCCCAAAATGCTTCATTAGTGTTTGCCGAAGGCAGACCTGGTCGCTGCTGGTTTATTTTCTTCCCAGTGGGATGGCAGTCCCCGGTGTCCCACCGCCGACCTGGCAGCTGCACCGCCGCAAGCAAGAGCGAGGGCTGGGGTTTCTGGTGTTGCTTTCAATCTCGCTTCGTTCTTTTACTCGGCATGTAACACAGCTGCGCCGTGAGTAGAGGGCAAGCATGAATCCTGTGCAAAGCAGTTATTTTGAGTAGTAACGTAAATTTTGCAGACCTAAAACTCCTCACGCTGATTGCTGCCATCTCCCTGTTTATGGGTACTCCCCTTCCATCCCCAGGGTTCATCTCTTCGCTCCCACCTCGCAGTCAGGTTTTAACCTCTCCCAGAGAAGGGACAGCCTTTTTGTGTTGCTTGTGTTAGCACCCTGGTCCCTGACTTATCCTGCTAGGTGCAAAGAGAGCAGAAATAACAAATGCAATACCGATAGTTGTCTAGAAATTACAGGAAGTCAGTAAGTGGGATGCAAACCTTTCCTGCACCGATATCAGATTCAAGCCTCCGTTATCCTTTTCTGGTACACGATGACCTTTGCGTCTCCCTGATTATTGAGCCTGAAAATTTCTCCTTGCCTGAATGTGCATGATAAAGAATTGCTTTGGCTGATGCTCTTACCTGTCCTTTCTGCTTCCCAACAGCGTGGCTGCCACAGCAGAGGCTTTGGTTTTATCCTCCAGGCATATCCACAGGTTATTTCCTTCTACTTCTCTTACATCACACTGGAGAGGGTACTTTGATTTTGACTACAGTAGTATCAAGGAATCCAGGATATTCCTTTCTCCAAAGCGTTATGCAGAGCTCCCCGACACGTGAATACAAATAACAACAATAATAAATAACAAAGACTTCAGTAAGAACACCAGCGACTGCTCGAAAGAAGGCAACATGTCTTAGTATTTTAAGATGCTATATTTCAGCTGCCTTTCCAAAAGCTGACCGTTTAAGGCAGCGAGAAGAGGACATGAAGAGGCAGACAATTAATGTAAAGCACATGGAAAGGTCAGGGGAATTCATCTAGCTTTCGCAGCACCATTTTGTAAGCAGAGAATAGCCCTTCATTAAACTCATTTTGTGCACTTCTGATTGAAGTGAGAAAGGAAAATAGCTTAACACACTCATCACAGTCCCTGGCAATTGTCCCCCAGCGCTGCTGAGAGAACGCACGGATTTGGTTCTCATCAAGCTACGTCCAAATCAATACATACCCAATATTTCCAGTCCCTACCTGCACATCAGGAGGCAGGAGCCTGGCGTTTCAGTGCCACATTCTGCATCAAGGGACGTACCCAAGGGCAAAGACGCCCCCATTGAGCAGCAGCCTGCATGCCCGTAGACTCACAGCAGCACCAGACCTGATGGCTCAGCCGTAGAGACGTTGTGGGTGTCCCTGGGGCTCCCTTTGACTCTTTGTGGCAGAAGCTTCCTCACACACCGCGGTCCCTGAGGACAGGACAGCTCCACGAGCAGCTTCCCTGCAGCAGAAACTGAGGGGACATTTTAATATTCCCTTCCTCAGGATCCACCAAGGGCCTGACACACAGCCCTACTACTTTGGCAGGACCTCATGCCCACTGCATGCAGGAGTAGGCAAGAAGACACTGGCTTATTCTGAGGAACTACTAAATATTCCATTTGTCATTTTTGAGCCACAGACCCAGTTCTGATCTCCAAATACTGACCTTATCTAAACACCTGAACGGAGGCTGAGCCCAGATGGGGAACTTGGTCGAACCTGATGGGTCTGATGCAAAAAGCACCAGATGTGCCCAGAGCTCCAGGTGTCCCCAGTTGTGCTGGCCCGCTGGCTAGCTCAGATGACCAGGAGCAGGGAGCGCTCGTCCTCTGGCAGGAGAGGAGCAGAGAAGTGGAGACGCGAGGAGTTTTCGTGCAAAACACAGGGTGAATTCTGACTCGACGGCATATTTCATGCAAGGTCTGCGACCCCACTAAGGACCCGCAGAGCAAATCCCTGGCTCACGCTGAAGGGAGCAGTACACAGCAGCAGCCTCACGGGCCACCGAAGGCTCTGTGAAGCACCATCCCCTCTCCGCTCCCCCCTGGCTCCAGGTGTTAGAAAGAGGCCTGACAAGATAGCAGGGAGTTACGCCGGCCCTTGCACCAGCTCTGCCGTGCTGGCTGGCATGCAGGGAGACAAGAAACCCTCCCCGCAGGCACAGGTGTGTCCTTCTCATTTGCTCACTTGATGCTAAGCTCAGAGAGCTAACACAGGCCATGTGGTGGCCTTTTCTCACTCCCTTTTACTCCTTTGGACAGGCACGCATCCCCAAGGAAAACTGATCCTTGCACGCAGGCTCGGGCTCCCAGCAGCCTGCACCCTGTTGTGATAGTCATTAATTTAGTCCATTGCTGCACTGGGGGCAACCGAGCGACCACGTTCCTCCGTTTCTTCCTGCGAGGCACCGTTCCTCTTGCTGGTGCCTGGAAAGGTAGGCTCGTGCGGGCTGTAAAGGAGACACTGCACACCAGATACTCAAGTCACTGCCTACTGCACAAATGTGAGAAATGCCTTGAAAATTGCACAAAGCACTGAACAGCCCGTAGGCAATTCTCTGTCACAGTAAAACTTCAGTGCAAATGAGAAACCTAACAACTGAAAACAGCTCGGATGTACTGGCAGAAAGCAGCCTCATTATCCACCTTCTTTTGGGGGGTTTTGTTGGGTCGGGTTTTTTTGGGAGGGTTTTTTTCCTTTTTTTTTTTTTTTTTTGCTATCAGGACTTCTCCGCTTTCCAAATGATAACGATAAACACCAGCTACAAACCTACGGACAACATGAATTGCCCTCAACAGATCTTTGAGCAAAAAGCTGATTGTGGTTTACCAACGTTTAAATGGCATGAGTTCAACAGGGTGACTCTGAAGGTCTCTGGGGCCACCAGCGCCTGGCGGCAGGCAACCCAAAAAGTCACATTCTGAAATAGGCCACCTAGATCTGCCCCAAAACTGTTCCACCTACAACTTGGGAGCTGATAGACAATTTAATTGCCATAGTTTCTGGAGTAACGTTGAGCTTGCTGATGTCTTTTAATAGAACTCTCCGAAAGGATTTAAGCGGTGCCCTTCACCAGAGGCCATGAAGGAAACTCGGTAATAGTATGATAATTACATTAGCATCTCAAGTGAGAACCAGCTCTCGCTGCGTTGTCTGCTCTACCAGGCACACGGAGAGGCCTTGCCCCAAATAGAGGAGGAAGACAACGTGGGAGAGGAAGGACAAGTCTCCGTGTCTCACAGTCCTTCCTCCGGCTCTTGGCCTAGGGCAGTTAAATTGCCCATTGTAAACGCGGGCCAACAGTACAGGTGTATCAGCATAAGCTCGGTGCTGGTTAGGCCAAAGGCATTTCAAGCATCTCCCAGAAACCTGCTCGGCTCTCCACAGGCCACATGAAACTTCAGCTTGGACCTGGGCCAGCGCAGCCAGCGCGCAACATACAAACACACAAAGCATAAATGCACTTTAAAGATGTTTTGCCATCCCCCTTCTTAGGAATTGAACGTCAGACCCCAAAACCCTCTAAAACCATCAGATTGCTGGCTTGCAGAGGCGACTTTTACCTTACGGTCACACCACAGGGTCTGCCGCACCAGCTCGCCATAAACCTTCGCTCTTGCCGTCCAGGAGGGAACACAACACCGAGCCCACGCGGGCTCTGACGCCGGGAACAGGTCCACGGAAACCCACGGGCCGCTCCCGGGCGAAGCGGCTGCAGCAGAGAGAGACGTAGATTTAGCGTGGCTAAACTGCCAAAAAGCACGGCTGCGACCGTGAGCTGGGGGAGGTATGCATCAGTGTAACATACACGCAGCGGGACTGTTCACATACACGTCTATATTTCGTGCCTGCACGGGGAGCCGCTTCACGCGTCGCTATCCCCGCAGGAGAGCGGGGC